GGATTTGGATTTGGAGGCCAGCAGACTGCATACGGCCCCGACTATCGCTACAGCAGCCATCCCTTTCCCCCACCTGCATACCCACCCGCATTCCGCCCGCCCCGTGGAGGTGGTGGCAGCGGATTCGGGCGTCCCCAGTTCGGCTATGGCAGCGGTGGTTTCGGCAGGGGCCGGTCTGACATCAATGTCTTCATACCACAGGAGCCCGGCGACCCGCGCATCGGCTATGATGAGGCGCGGGAAGCTGTCAGGCGGCACCTAGAGGAGAAGAAGAAGGCCGAGCAGCAGGCGGCGCTAGCGCCCTTCAAGGCCCAGCTGGACGAGCTCACACAGATGGTGCAGCAGCAGAACCGCAACGCCAACCAGCCACCATCGCACGCCGCCCCATCCACGTCCAGCGGCTACGTCGGTGCGAGGGCAGCGGCACCGGCCGGCGCAGTGGGCAGGGAAGAGTTCGAGGCCCTCATCGCTTCCCAGGAGAGGCTGATGGCGGAGCTGCAGAGGGAGAGAGCATCCCGCCAGCCTGCACCCTCTTCCTATCGCCCTTCCCGCCACCCCTCACCCTCTCCCCGCATCGCACCCGGACTGTTTGAGGACCTCTCGTCAGACCAGGACGGCGACCAGCCGATGGAGTCCCCACGCAAGCGCAAGGCGGCAGATGGGGCAGCAGCAGCGCTCTTTGCCGATCTGGATGCTGCCGATGACGATCCGCTGATCGAGACCATGGTCAAGACAGTGGAGGAGGCACTCCGATTCAAGGTGCCCGTCAACGAGCTCCCCAACGTGCGCGACGTGGAGGACCTGGCGGCACAGGCCCTCAAGGCACGGACGTGGAGCAAGGACGAGAAGGAGTACGTGCTGAGGACGTGCGGGCTCCCCAGGAAGAGCAAATGGGGCAAGCCGACGATGAAGGAAATCGTCAAATGGACCCTGCATCAGGTTGGTGTGGGGTCCAACTGACTATCTATGCATACGAGTGGCTGGAATGAGGGGGTGAATGCGCGTGAGCTGCTAGAGAGGGCTGCAGAGAGATGCAAAGAGAGATCCTGTACGAGTGCGCGTCGTGATGAGAGTGACGTGGGGATGTTACGAGACTGGCTGTTTGCATCTCTGTCGTGTGTTGCGGCGCATGAGTCGAGCCATATTGTCCGTATCATTTCTCGCTTCCTGCCGCCGTCTGTACAAGCTGCATTGCTTCGTGGTGGGCAGGAAGGGCCTGTTAGCGAGTGGAGTGGTGTGAAGGAATGGATGGATTGGATGTCTGAACGACTGGC